TTTTTTTATATATTCCTATTGTAAAATAGTTTTTGAGAATGTATATATATGAATAAAAAATATATATTAATATTCAAAAAGCGCAGTGGAGATATAAAATATGAATAAATAAGAAGTATTTTGATTTTTTTGGTTGATATAATAATCGAATATATTTAAACAAATATTCAAAATTCAATTTACAATTTAATATTCATGCGGAACCTCCGAGAAATAAGCAATTTATAATAATATAGAATAAGATATATTAAAATACCGCTATTGAAAACAATAAATATATTTTACTATTCAAATAAGCTGAAAAGATTAATCTAAAATATTAATTTAAGATTTTTTATGAAATCATATTTCAAATTGTTCAAACAGAAAAATACAATATATATAGAAACTCAAATAATATATATAGAATATAGGTCATAACTCTAAAAATAAAATTATTTGAAAAATATATATGCCTATTTACCAAAGAAAACGACCTAGCAGTGAATATATACATATATGTGTATATGAAAGAATATAAAACGCCATTATTTGGGAATTCCATACCCAAGATAAGGTAACATGAGAAGCATGGGTTGGCATATATTCAAATATATGCGCCGTTTATATTTATTCTTTACATTTAAAAAGAGGTGAAGCTCTGCTTCCAGAATGACAAATCAGAAAATATCAGAAATGTTTTATTATTCGGCAAATAGGCAACTTTCACACAGGTTTTGAATTAAAATGGCAAACTTCAGTCAATTTTTCGAAACATTCATATTACGTATAATGGAGAATAAGCCCATGCTTATCATTTATTGAAATCATTAGTTTTTTAAAAATATTTTTGTTGACGGCTTTCGTTGTTTGAGATTTTAATTATTTCTTGATATTGTCAAGCGGCTCAGCGGCTCCAACCACGAGAAGCCCCATGGGACGCCTGTCAATCATCCCTGAACACCGGGTGTGAGGGGTTTTCTCGGAATCTGGTCGGCGGGGGGAGCTGACTTCGCTCATTAGGATTTTCCTTTAACTTGGGGTAAGTTGTACTCTCTCTCTCTCTCCCTATAAATACCCCTTATAATAAATTAATTATCCCCAAACTTGCCCTTGCTTATTTTTCTCCGCGACAATATATTTAAAAAGTAAACCATTACTAAGAGCGAAGGTTATCATAAATATATATGAGGTGTTGCAAAATGATTCCTGTCGACTTAATGTTGCGATGCGAATGATCATGTCGACTGTATGTGGTGATGTTTGATGATCCTGTCGGATGACAGTAGTGCGGCAAATTGGGTATATGCAGTCGTGGTGGCCACAATGATCAGAGTGATTAAAGGCTTGATTGGAATTGCACAAAAGGAGGAGACATTTTGGATTCCACACAGAGATAGTATCACGAGTGCATGAGGCCGGCGCCGTCGAAGGGGTCTGATCAATTCTAGTGAGAGAGAGGAACTGGTGGTAATCCGACTATGTTTTTCGGACTATGATGTAATCAGAGACTCTTTCCTGTATGAGCGCCTGCTGTCACTCAATCTAATTTTATTATTTCGTTTTGTATTACATGGTGGCCAAACTGGCGTGTTGGATTGTGTCTACAATTTTGACTGTTACACTATAGCTATGATGCATTAGCACGCCATCTGTTATCAAAATACGATACTATTATAGACGTGTATGAATTTATAAACAATTTCTACTGTCCTTACTCCCAGTAATTGTTCCATTGCAGTAAGGGCAGTAGAATTTTTATTTTGAAAAGAATCATACGCGTCTATAATAGTTTCGTGTTTTGACACTATAGCTATATTACCTACGGGATATTAAGTATATATTTAAATATATTACAGTATATATATACAACATCTATTTAGAAATATGTGAGAGGGTTATAATTATTTTACCCCCCCCCTTCCAAGCAAAAAAAAAAAGACGCTTCTTTTCCATTAATTATGCATCTTTACGATATTTGGTAAGAGAAAATGTATATAATTTTGGTAAATTAGAGCGATTTCATCACCCCTCTCGTACTAGATAATGAAATCGAAGACGCCCCTGTACTAATGAAGGCTAAAGCCCGAAACCATGGTATACAGGTTGTTTTTTGTCTGAATTTGCCAAAACTGTTATTGCGGCTCATTCTTTATCGTAAAGTCTTTCAGACTATCATGAAATAATATATAGAAAAATATATGTTTTGAAATAAATAATAAGAAATATATGTATAAGAAAACATACCCTTGAGATCTAATATAGCTTACCATCCTTCACCAGCAATATCAGTGTCCCGGTACTATCATTATACCTTTCAACATAATTATTCGTTCGAAAAACATATAGACAATATATCAGAATTCTTCCATAATAGAAGAGAATCCAGCCATAGACCGTACTGTGAGATTTGCTCTTTCGAAGTGATTTTTCTTTTACTTTAGCTACTCCATGACCTCATCTTGAGAGATCTACGTGAAATGTTAGAGCAGTCCCTTCAGATCAATTAGATATCGATAACATTATGACTTTTTCAAAACCTACCTTTCTTTCAGAAATTCCACCTACCTAAAACAAAGTTATCAATAGATCAGAGTGAGTCACCCATGGAAAGTCGTCTATCAATGGCAGCAGACAAATAGTTCAAATGAAAATAAATGAATGGATGAATAGTATAGAAAACTTTGGCATTGCAAAATAAGGAAGATATATCGATGATATTAAATTAGAATATCGATCAGGGAAAAAACAGCTCATTTCAGATACCCATAATAACGTTCACCAAAATATATCGTTTACCATAGAAATTATAGAGACAGAGTATTATCCTATCTGTATGCCCTCATTAAAGAAACAGAACAGGTTTCCTACCGCTGTTTATTATAAGAATAGTGAAAAACCTTAGATCCAATTTCAATTCTCATAGCTCCATATCATACAGAATAACTGTTGTAATTATGACTAAAATATTATTAACTCATTATTGGTCGGAATTTTTATAAAATTTCCATATTATTGAAAGACATCCTCTATCCTTAGTTGAATATTTATGTTCGCGGCCTTTAAAAGTCCTTCAAAATACACAATAAATATAGCAATATAACGTAAGCTGAAAAGGAATGTCTATTCAACAGCTCATTTCAGATACCCATAATAACTATCACCAAAATATATCGTTTACCATAGAAATTATAGAGACAGAGTATTATCCTATCTGTATGCCCTCATTAAAGAAACAGAACAGGTTTCCTACCGCTGTTTATTATAAGAATAGTGAAAAACCTTAGATCCAATTTCAATTCTCATAGCTCCATATCATACAGAATAACTGTTGTAATTATGACTAAAATATTATTAACTCATTATTGGTCGGAATTATTATAAATTTCCATATTATTGAAAGACATCCTCTATCCTTAGTTGAATATTTATGTTCGCGGCCTTTAAAAGTCCTTCAAAATACACAATAAATATAGCAATATAACGTAAGCTGAAAAGGAATGTCTATTCAACTTCTAAAACAAAAACATTCGTAAACACGAGACACTCGCGCGCAAAGAGGCAGTCGGTGCAGTTCTTCAATAAAGGTGTAACAGTGATATCTTCTCAAAGAAAAGCTGTTCCACAGCTCAATAACCATCTCATGTCTTCTCTCTAGCCGCCGCCCCCCTTCCGAAATACAAAGCCGTCCTTGTCGATTGCCTGATTAAAGATATGTATATATCTCTATTTCTGTAATTTAACCTTTCGAGTTTAGCATAAGTGTTGGAGAAATGCGGTCTTTTGAAGAATGAAGATGAATACAACAATGGTGACTATCCTTTTTGGTTTTGATATCTCAATTTACGAACCCAGTGTCAACTGCTTTCTGAAATATGGACGCGATCTCAAGATTGTTTTGCGGTTGCATGAAGCCACGAAAACAAAAAAATAATTTGATTGATTTGGATCTATTAAATGAAGATTTTGATATGGAAATAGGAAAAAAGGAGGGTATTCAACTAATATCCTGTCCACACCCACATCAGGCTAACGAATCCTGCTACATGGCAATAATAGTGTCATTGAAGAAACATGGTAAAGGAAAAAGATTGCATAATATCATTTCTGGGAATTGTGCGGCAAATCAGCAAAATGAGCCAATTTCTTTGAAACTTTGGGCAAAGGACGATGGAAGTCCTTTTTTGACATTAGGAAAAATGTACAGTTCGCCGCCAAGCCTCCCATTCGAATAGAATATAACCTTGCTCGTGGAGAGAAAAAAAAAGAGAAAAGAATGGGAATAAAGGAATTGATTTTTGAACTAAAATATACCGAGGAGGAAAAAACAGAGACCCAATTGCCAATCATCATTCCACCCCCTGACATTGCAGCTACCAGGTCTGAACCTCCCGCCTCTCTGCCAAATCTCTCCATAGTTTTTGAAATGGATGACCCAATCGTTCATCCTCAAATCTGGATGATCTTAGCTCTTATGCGTCTCCATGCTGTCGTTGCGCCTACCCAATAACTTAAGTGAATTATATAGTTATTAACACTGTAGAGAATAAAGGTGAAAATGTGAATTTCTATGTATCCTTTATTGGATTTCCAGCATCATACTGAACGGTTTATATTCTTCATTTAAGCCTGTGTAAATCTCATCTCTATATATTCAAATAACCTTTTATGATATCTGTGCCTAATCTTTGTTACTACTATTGATTCACCACACGTGGCCTCCTTCTATTTTTTCGAAGAAGAATTTTGAAATTCTGTATTTTTAATAGAAATATATTCTTACATTTCGTGCCTTATCTTTATATATATAAAAGTCAATGTCTGTCTGTTTCGCGATAAACTCAAAAACTACTGAACCAATTGATACCAAATTTTGCATGTCGCTTTTTATATACCTGAGGAAAATTTTCGGCAACATTTTGATTAGTATTTTTGGCTATTTCTTTTTTCATTTGAAGAACTTTTTTTACTCGGAGTAATCCGGAATGAAATGAATACCCAAATATGGCCATATTTTATAAGCATCGGTGGTGGTTCAGTGGTAGAATGCTCGCCTTGTCACGCGAGCGGCCCGGGTTCGATTCCCTGCCGATGCATTTTTTTTTACAATTTTTAAAACTCATTTATCTCTATATATATAAAAGTCAATGTCTGTCTGTCTGTTTCGCGATAAACTCAAAGACTACTGAACCAATTGGTACCAAATTTTGCATGTCGCTTTTTATAAACCTGAGGAAAATATTCGGCTACATTTTGATTAGTATTTTTGGCTATTTCTTTTTTTTTTCATTTGAAGAACTTTTTTTACGTGGAGTAATCCGGAATGGAATGAATACCCAAATATGGCCATTTTTATACGCATCGGTCCATCGGGCCACGCGGGCGGCCCAGGTTCGTTTCCCGGCCGATGCATTTTTTTTTTTCAATTTTTAAAACTTATTTATATTATATACTAGACGAATGACCCGGCTTCGCCCCAGAATTCCCCCGATTGCAATTTCATACTGAAAGTACATCAATAATAAATATTAGAAGTGCCATAGAATAGCAATACAGAAGTAACACATAAACTACAGAAAAAAAGTGTGTGTGATGGCAAAATTGTATTATATTAGTGTTTAGGTATTTGATTTAATTAATATATCTGATATTATAATATATATTTATATTATATATATATAAAATATAAATTAATTTTAAAAATTATAAAAAAAAAATTCATTGGCCGGAAATCGAACCCGGGCCGCCCGCGTGGCAGGCGAGCATTCTACCACTGAACCACCGATTCTTATAAAAAATGCCCATATCTGGGTATTCATTCCATTCCGGATTACTCCGCGTAAAAAAAAAAGGTTTTTCAAATGAAAAAAAGAAATAGCCATCGGGGGAATACTCGGGCGAAGCCGGGTCATACGTCTAGTCTCTATATATATAAAAGTCAATGTCTGTCTGTTTCGCGATAAACTCAAAAACTACTGAACCAATTGGTACCAAATTTTGCATGTCGCTTTTTATAAACCTGAGGAAAATTTTCGGCTACATTTTAATTAGTATTTTTGGCTATTTCTTTTTTTTTTTTCATTTGAAGAACTTTTTTTTACGCGGAGTAAATACGAGGCGAAGTAACAACACGAGGCCAATTAAGCGACCAATGAGCGTTCTGCATTTCTTTTCAAGTTGCTTGCGTACTTTTTTTTAAATATCTTTTTATACGAGTGTCACCTTTTTTTTTACAAAGGTATTGAGAGAGAAATTTATATTACTAAGTAACGGTAAGTGCACACAATGCAATTAAAAAAAAACTTTACAGAATTAGCGTTACTTGTATGTAAACAATGGCTTTCGTATTTTTTATTAATTTTTGTTCTGGCCTTTGTTTTTTTATATAATCTAATATATAAAAATCATTGTCGTTTGTTTCGCGATAAACTCAAAAAACTACTGAACCAATTGATACCAAATTTTGCATGTCGCTTTTTATATGAGAAAAAATTTCGGATGTGTTCCAGCCTTAAATATGCAAAATTGTTAGAATTTACTTTTGTTAATTATTGTTAAATTATGTAAATTTTAGAAATGTATATAATCTTGATTTTAGAAAATAAAGAGAGTTATTAAAGTATACGAGGTTGAGTCATTAGAATTGGTGAGACGAGACAATAGCAGTTATTCAAGTTTGAAGGAGTTATAGTTAGCTCGCTGAGTCAAGAAGCATATAATTAAAACCAGCGTTAAAATAAGAATTAGGCGGTGATTCCTCCTTAGTGCCAGGAGGCAAAGCCAATTCGATTCATGGTCCCTCGATATCTGGATTAGGATTTGAAACAGAAGAAATTTAGCAAAAACTCAGTGAGAATACAATTGCGAAATGTCTCGAGACGAAAGGATCCTCCAAAGAAAGTTAAGTTACCAGATAAGGAGAATTGATGGATTTATTGAAACTGTGGATTCAATTATTGAGGCAGGTGAAACAATACGCTTAGAAATAATGGGTGAAGAATTAAAGGAGATCAAAGAAAAAATTGAGAAACTCTACGATGAGCTGTTTTCTTTGGATGAAGTTGATATAGATAAAGAAAGTGAGGCATGTGATAGTTCAATGAACAAGATTGGAAGCTTGAGGGTAAAAATAGAAAATGAAAGAAAACTCAAAGACAAACTGGCGGACATAAAGCCAAATGGCTCTCAGGCAAATATAAAATTGCCTCAATTTGACTTGCCGATATATGATGGAGATATGGGCACTTGGATCAACTTCAAAGAGCTATTCCTCACCACCATCGATGCACATCCAGGGTTAACTAATATACAGAAGTTACAATATTTGAATTCTGCAGTAAAAGGCGAAGCGGTCAGATTAATAA